TGCAGCTTGCCAACGGACGGGAAGAGAGACAGAGGGACGGAGGGAAGTGGCCTCGCCGAGGGAGGAAACGGGACGGTCCTGAATTGCGCGCCTTCGTTTCGCGGATACTCGGACCGTCGTCCTTCGCCGATGCCTTCGCGCTCGAGAGGAAAAGCGCCGGCCAGTGACGAGAACAAAACGAATTTTCGCGGGAATGTCGGCCACGTGAAATATTACCGTCCGGTCGGACGTGCTGTTTGTTCGGAATCGTGATTAGCTTCCCGACCACGCGAGGATATGTTTTGAACTTGGAAAATTTTTCCCTCCGAAAAGCAACTCCTAGATCTAGCGTTATGACTGATAAAAAAAAATCTAATTTAAAAGGGTAACCGCTCGTTCATTCGAGCTCGGTATTCAGTCGGGATTTCATTTAATTAATATTTTGCAGCGATTTATTCCCCGCGGTGATTCGAAACTTTCATCACAAACTGAACAGAAATACACACATTTACTTCTCGATAAAGTCCTTTCCATGATGAAAGTCACTCGCAATCTCTGTTTACCAAACGCGAAATAAATTGCCAGCTGAATGCGAGATGCATAGCCAATAATATTATTCCCATAAACGAATGGTCACTTAGGCAAAACGATTGTTTCAGCGAATTACGAGTAAAACACGGTCGCCGATGCAATTTTCTAAATGCACTAGTAACTTGCTAAAGTGATACTCGTGTTTGATGTTACCCGCGATCCGCGATGAATTATAAACGGGGATCCGCTCGCTCGCGGGTAACGAGCGTCGAAATAAATACACCGTAATCGGTGTAAATTTCTCTGCACGCGCCGTTGACTATAGCGCGCGCGATACACACAGCCGCACGGCAATCATAAATGCAACCCTTTGCTCTTTGAGTGCTCAGCCGTCAATACGATCATCAATATGCAACTCACTCACTGCAAACTGCACCACTCGCGCGAGATTACGTTATACTCCTGATTATGGCGCCAGCGAACCATTTTCGAGATGGAAACCAATTGATTCGTCGGATACATCTATGATGACCTAATGACGCTCTCGGATAAACTGATCCCGTACGAGCTAAAGATATCAACCGTAATCGAATAGGGGACAATTATGTCCAGCTAAAAACGTACGATACAGTTTCACTCAGTTATATCAAAATTTATATTCGCATGTAGCATTACAGATGCACACCTGCTCTACCCCCCCTCTCTCTCTCTCTCTCTCTGTCTCTCCCTGATTTTTCCTGTCTCTCCCTGTCTCTCCCTGTCTCTCCTTGTTTCTCCCTGTCTCTCTCTGTCTCTCCCTGATTTTCCCTGGCTCTCCTTGTCTCTCCCTGAATTTCCCTGTCTCTCCCTGTCTCTCCTTGTTTCTCCCTGATTTTCCCTGTCTCTCCTTGTCTCTCCCTGTCACTCCCTGTCTCTCCCTGAATTTCTCTGTCTCTCCCTCGCTCACTCATTCAAAAGTTTAGATCATTTATACGCCGAAATGAACATACCGCCACGACTGCAAAGGAAAAGTTCATTTTCGTTACGCAATAAACGCCCAGGTGGATGAACAACTTTGCATTCATCAGAGTTGAGTATACACGGCGGAATGTCTCAAAGGAAGTTTTCGCCGCTCTAAGTAACTGCTTCCTTCCGGCAAACGCCAAACAACAGGCATTATCGAAATTCCATACTTAACAGCGACGTCCGTGGCACGGAATTAAAGCGAATTAACGAGCATCCTTGACTGCCAATTAAGGGCAATTGGCCTTACGTCGCATACGGCCAATCCGTCGGCGACGTAGGAGACGGTAGATTAGGCAAACGCACGCGTCAGGATTGTGCCGGGAACACGGTTTTCAGCGCGGGCGCGATAACGCCAAATTCGATTTGCAACTCGAATTCGAAACATCGTTAGCCGCCGCCGCTACCGCCGCTGCTCATTGCGACGTAACTCGATTTGCCTTTCATCGCGTGTAACTGACGTATCGGGGTCGTCGATTCGAGTAGATTATTGCGTGACGTATTAATTTACGTTCGATTAGTCTTTCCGGACTGACAACGCGCGGTTTTTTAAATCCCGTTGTTGCGCGCCCGGTTATGAAATATTGATATTGTGTTGCGTGCGCTCTTCGCAAAATACTCGACGTGGGATCGGTTGTAAAAGCGCAGCCCGGTGGGCCGGGCTAATGTTTATAAATTATCTCCTAAATGTACGTTCGGGTTTAAAAGAGCGCGTACGGAAATCGAGATCGGGATACTTCCGCCACGGAGAAACGCACGAAAAGAGAGCGGGTGGTGCGTAAAGAGAAAAGAGAGAGCGAGAGAGTCAGGCCAAAAATGCCAACAACGAATTGCGATTTCGACTTTTTTTCGCAAGAGTAACAAATGTCGCGGGAATAAGCTCGAAAAAAAATTTAATGCATTTTGTATGTAGAGAATTAAAAACAACGTCGTGCCGGCAGCGGAAAGTGCGACGCGGGTCGTAAAATATCCGAGTGAAAAGAGCGGGGGGAAAAAATAATAAAAATTAAGCGCAACGCTTTATTATACCGTTACGTGAAAGTTCAGCGGTATCAGAAACGGCGATCTGCCGTTTGGTTGTGACAAGTTGCGCCGCGGAGAGACGGGAGCTGAATTCTCGCCGGCGCTCCGCAAACCCGCGGCAGCGGTCCGTGTAAATTTCAATAGAAATTTCGCCATGGAGATCCGTCTATCACGCGAAATCATAAATAATCGATCGAACGAGATCGCGAACGGGCGGAACCACGGTCAGAAATACTTCGATTCGGCATTTTTTTCCCCCCCTGCGATTCTATTTCCGACCGCGGTTACGCAACACGCGATTTTTTCCGCGAGCGCGGCAATGCCGCTTAATTAAATTAGCACGGGATGAGAGCTCGATGCTGTATTTTGTCGTCTACGCGTATTGAGCCGTGTAACAAATATAAACGCCATCGCACGGATCCAGCGAAACTAATGTGCGGTCTCGCAAAATTTTGTTTGCAAGTCGCGATTGAATGGAAGCGAAGTTCAAAGCGGCAAAAAGATGAATTTGAAAATTTAAAAACTGGAATTTAGTTCGATTTCGTGTGAAATAATTAATTAACGCGCGACACGACACTTATTAAATGTTTATTCCACTCGGCTGATTAAATGGAAAGACAATAACACATTTAATATGCTTTTAAAATCGACCTCAACTGGCCACAATTATTAAATTCCTTTTCACAACGTTTTGACCTTTGGTTTAGGTCCCTATCGAGTGGGATCTAAGAGCAAGTATTTTACGTATAAAATTACGCGAGAGGTGTACAGGCATTGCACGGTATCGCAGAGTAATTATAGGCATACCTTGTCACGGAGTCATGTCAAATACAAGTGAAACCGCATCTTAGCGGGATAGAGTTCTGTGTTAAGAGCAAAATTTCACTAACGTCCGGGTCCGAGAGATGTACGACCACGACTGATTAGTCATTTTAGTATTCAAAGGTCAGGCAACCGCGATAAACATATAGGAGGAACAAACCAAGACGGTCGGAGATGATTTTGAAATGTAAACCAAGTTGATAATTCACACATCCTACATTTGATTTATGCAAAATATTCGCAGCTCGCTTGCATTTTCTAGTTTGAATGGCGCAGAAGAAACTCTTGCTTCCTCTCGCAGGCGGATGCGGGGATAATGAGAATAATTATCCCCGATCAACATATCGTATATGCTATTTTATTAATGAGATTTTCAACGATATTCCGTAATGAAGCAAATCGCGCTAAGTACCGAAATCAATGCTCCTTTGCATCTCGATTATAAACCGCTGCAAGTATACAATGTCGGAAATTACTACCGCGAGCAGCTAAGCACCGGAGAATAGCAGCCGGTTGCTTTGTAATTAGGCGAACATGAGAAGATTTGAATTGTAGACTCCGCTTCCGCTTATCAGGCGCGTCAGGGACGGCATAATGCGATAGAGAACGTGATGTTTATCAAAAGCGATGGCTAGTAGAATATTGAATGTGTTTCACACTAGAAATATGCAACGTTGTTAATTTGTAATTAAATCTCTGCTCGCGGAGTTGGACGTCGGGAACAATGGCCCGAGAAAATACACTTTGCGAGGCACCTCGGCCTGGCGCACTTTTTTCCTCTTCCCACCCAATGAAAATTAATATAACTCGCCGAAATGTTTAAAAGTGAAATATATGACGTGTGAGGAGGACTTTTTTTTTATTACGCCTTGCGCAAATGGAGGAATCCCCTTATTACAACGGCCAGCCATTAAATCAGAGAAGTTCACAGACTCCGCGGGGGGACGAACAAAGTTTCGCGGCTAATGACGCGGTACTTTTTAAACGACCGGACTTAGCGCGTCCATGAGGTATTGGTATAAAATTTAGCCGCTCGTATATTCCGCGAAAACTTTGGCGAGCATAAATAGCCCCGTGCCAAGGGTACGCCAAAGATAATCTCGGGGATAAAAGAAACCACCGGCGCTTGATTCTCGATCCACTTTTGCTCTTAACTCTATAAATCACAGTTCTACGACTGCGGAAAGCTTCCCAAGCACGGCTTTCATTTCGAAAAGAAAGACGAGGATTCATTATTAGCGCTATCGTGACTTGCTGATCGTTTGCACTCTCGCTGCCTCGTGACGCAATCTTCGTAGAACGAAGAGACATGGCACGTGCGTCCATGCAGAACTTGAGACTAATAGATTGCTCCTCGTAGCTAAACAAGAAATACCCGAGCCTTTCCTACTTCTAATACATCGAGAGCGTATCAAAAAGAGCGTAATTACTTAATCGTTCCACGTATCTGCCCGAGGAGTCTTCGGTCGTGTTTTCGAAAGTAAAATCGTCAAGAACCTCGTAGAGATTCGGGTGTGTCCACGGCGCGAGAGAGAAGAGGGAACGTCTCGGAGCAAGTAATACGTGACGCAGATACCGTGGAAATTGTCTCTGGACACGGCCGCTTTCCGGGAGAACTGGCGAAGAGGCAAAAGTGCACCTACCTGAAAGTCGAACTTGCCGAACTCCTGCTGGGCGTCGATGTCGGCGTTTCGCGGCGCGATTACAGGGCAGGTGGCGAGCGACACCTGAGCATCTGGCGACTCGCTGTAATCCGGAGTGACGGAGGTCAGGCTGCGGTCGTATCTGAGCTCCTCGTTCAGGATGGCGGCGGCGGGGTGGCCCGACGACGGCGCCTGGACCTGGCTGACGTAGTACAGGCACAGCAGGAGCGACAGCACCACGATGCAAAGGACGAAGACGCGGCCGGAGCCGCGGCGCAGTATCTTGTACATGATTCGTTCGGCGCGACTCGCGTTGCTCGTAGACTCCACGGTAGATCACGGTGATTCATCTAGAGATCGAGCGGATCGTGCGACGGGCGGGCATGCCGAGTCAGCGGCGACGATCGACGATCGATCTTCGGCCTCGGTTCCGTCGTTCGTCGACTTCATGGAACGTCGCGGCGGAAGGGCAGCCTGGAAGACGAGAGAAACGAGATGTTAGTACGGAAACCAAGTATTGCAGTTCCGCCGAGTGCAATTCTTGTGGTAATAATTGTCCCAGTCCCGACAATTATTTTCTTAATTTCGCACAAAACCGCGAATGTTATTACCGATACTGCGTTCCATTGATAATTCTGTGATCGAACGTGTAAGCTCATAAGCTTGTAACAATAATACGTAGAACAGGCTTCGTGCCGATACATGCGAGCGCAATGAATCGAAATCGCATTTTGTATAATAGATATGTTATGATCATAAATGATAATTAATTATCATATACATATTATACATATATTTTATATACATATATGTGCGTATACATGTGCGTATATCGCGCCATTTACCGTTGACTGATCGAAAATACAGACGTTTTAATCTCGACGAGATGAGAGCACAAGAGAGATTTGCATCGAATTAATTAATTTCAATTAATTCAATTATACGAAACGGGAATATGGATGGTATAATACCGTGTGTTTAGTAATCATCCAGGTTATTACACGGACCGAGTTAGAAACTGTCACGCTGACTTTATTATTTATACCGTATTAGATACGCATATATGACGCCCGGGGTGAATTTAAAGAATCATTTTGTTGCAGACATTAATGCGGTACACGCGAGCGTAACGACGTGGCGGCCTAGTTATCGCGTATTCAGACCGACGGGATACAGAAATTATGACTCGATGCACACACCACTCTACGCGGGGATCGCAATAATCCGCGCACCTGTGTTTTTCCACGCGAAATATGTATCTTTGCCCACAAATAGCCAAGGTCGGCCGAACCGCGATCGATCAACTCTTTGCTAACAATTTTCTTCTCCACTTTTCTACATCATTTGCGACAAGTGGTCATCTATCTTCGTGATAAAGAGACTTTTGTAGTCCCGCGTAGAAAGAACGCGAGTCGACGGCGAAACGTTTAGGAGTGTCAACATTGCGTAAGATCGCACGCAACGTCTGCGGCAAATAAACCGACATCCGGCGAATCGAGCTTAATTAAGACGAGAGTCCGCTATCGACGCGAAACGGAAAATATAATTACGAATACGATTCCGCGCGAAGGGATAAGTCGAAAGTGCGGAGGCGGGGATTTTATTTTTTTTCATCGCGATGGAATATCGTCGCTTTTCCGATTATACCGCAGATAATGGACCAGCCTGTATTTCATCGCGAGATAGATTTAATCGATGGCTTTCATAAACATCGATGGATTTGTCGATGAATTGCAAATCGAGATTGTTCCCGTGGATACCGACCAGCATTTCCCAAAATCGAGAGAGCAACAGGAGGAAGAGAGAGCGAGCGAGAGAGATTTAGCTTTCTCGGCTATTTCTAATACATTAAAATACAGTTGTTGCAACATATTCTCTTTTAACATTCTTTTAAATGACTCAATCTTTTCACGTTGCCTTATTTCGGTTGGTAACACATTGTAGACAGAGACAGAGACAGATAGACAGAGAAGAGAGAGAGAGGGGGGGGGGACGAGTATTCGCGCTGCAATTTAATTCGGTCGTCGTATGATAAGCCTGGTGAACCAGAGACACGGTGCAGCTCGCCGGAGCCTTCGCTCGCTGGCTGGCCCGCTAAAACCTCCATCGCGATATGTAAGGTCGCTTCTCACGCGATAAT